GGGTGAAGGGGGGTGTTTTTCTGAATCTTAAAAGAAAAGGAAGAGCTGTACAGTAAGCCTTCCTTCGCCCTTCCCGCTCTAAAAGATTAATTTAATTTCTCTTTTCTACCTTTATTCATTTAATATTAGCTGGGCCTTAACGCCTCATCACGCAAGAAATGATACATTACCGATGAACATCGCGTCGACCAGATTGTAAAATTTGGCAAATATTTACTTGGTCTCACAGAACACTCGACTTTGGTTTGGCCTACTTTGGGAATCCTGAAGGGCATAATAATAATATTGCCCAACCTTCAAGAACACGCTGACGTAAGAGTTGTTACTGTGCATTGTGCCCTCAAGTTCTCGTTTCGTCAGTTTTGACTTTTTTGTTTCATTCGTTCTTATTACCCTTTAGATTCTAAGTGAAATGCACCTCAAAAGTAAATCGCTATTAGTTTCGCTTGTTTATTTAGATCCACCCCCCCCCCCCTCCCTAATTTCCTACCATTTGTTGGGGTGTGGTTGCCCATTGGGTCACACCTTTTGAAACAAAACAGGTCTAATCTTTTCGAAGATCAAACAAAACATTTTCTTGCCTTCCAGTTACAAAAGAGCAAGCAGACACTTTTGTGCGGTAAAAAATTCGTGGCGCGACTCTCCTCAACTATCGAACATAGGTTCTCCAATTTTTGCACAATGACTTGTATCAATTTGTCTTAACAGATCATCAGTTTTGTAAACACCCGCAAGCTGTATTCTAGAAAATTCCTTAATAAATACTTATTAAAAAATCCAAGTGGGTGGTTTCTACAGATTTTTAAATGTTTACTGCTGGGGCAATATTGCTTTTAAAAGCAATCCGTCATGTATTTTTAATCGGGACATTATGTTTATTGAACGATTGTTTTGATAACCATTAGATCTAGTGCAAAAAATGTGTTCATTATAAATATGATTTTTGTAACTAGTTTTGCAAAGTAAAAATTATTATTGATCAGCGGTGACGTAGGCGCTAGGCCTTATGTGTAATCAAAATGTGGGTGAGAAGCGGGAAGTGCTGTGAACAATACCATAAATACCATTTATTTTATGTGTGACAGAGATTTCAAGTACATGTATTTTATATAAATTTATGAAGAAAAGTTTTTTTAATCTAGCCCCAATTGTTCTGGAAAAATATGATTTAGTTAAGACAAATTGATACAAACTGCTGTGCAAAGTTTGGCTGACATTGATTCACCCGTTAAAGAGACATTTGAGGATAAGTAGCGCCCACAGAATTCTACACTAAGTGTAGAATTCTGTGGTAGCGCCACGAATTTTTGACCGCACTATAATTGTAACAAACCGTGATTATAGTGTTCGTTTTATTATGGGAACACACTGATGGCAATACCATAAGGCGCATAACAAGTTGTTGGTTCGGTTGAATAATACCGTTACGCTCATAAGATAATTACTAAATCTACATCATTATTGGCAGGATTGGTGTTTTTGGTTCTGAAAAAAAAAGAGCAGAGCCAGCTTGGTAAAATAGTTCACTTGGACTAAAAAATCATCAAAATATAAAAATCAATGGGACGTACCAAAATCCAAGCGTTGCACAGAAGCAATTGTTCGAAAGCAAGTTTTTTTTTTTCTCATTTCCTCAAAATGGCAAAAAATGACATGGACATTTATGTTATGAGCATGACGATGAAGAGAGGTCTCAAAACGTCCACAAGCACACGCAAACAGTTTGCAGCCGGAGCTCAACAAACGTGCTGTTCTTCTTTCCACGGCACTTATACTTCTAGCCATGGCACAGACAGTAGACAGGTCCCTGCAAACACACACACACACACACACACACACACA